CCTGCAGGTCAAAGAATTTTGACTACTGGTATATTCCTACTGCCCTTAACGGTAAATGTGTTTACCTTGTCTTTGGTGTACTGTGACTTGGCCTCCAATAATCTAGGAATCTTATCATAATTTATATCAGGGAGATTATTTCAGTGGTAGTAACCTCTATGACTAGACCTGGCCTACAAAAGAGAGCAACCAGAAGACTTTTCAATAACTCAAGTGCATCTTTCACTAACATATTCCTCATTGCCTCTGTGAAGGGAGTGTCTTCTGGGACTTTTGGTGGAATACATTTGAAAGTTAGACTTGCAGGTCACACACAATAAATCCATTCTAACATTCTTATTTTCTCAAGCTTTTGGAGTCCCTTATTCACATTTTGCCAGAAAAACTATGGCATCTAAGTTCCATTAAATGCAAATCACCTTTCAGTCCAAGTTTCAACTAAGTAAACTATTAGAGCCATTCCAACCACATAAGGTAACATGTTACATATGAACTCTTTAGTAAATAAGCCCATATCTGCAAATTCTGCCTAATTTAGTGTTATTCTTTTCCACTTTGATCTAGCACCCTTAGAAACCTCTACCCCATATGTATATAATGTTTCCGTTGATTGTATATTAGCAGAAACTTTCAATTATTTTGGTGTGCAAACAATTTCCTCCCAGTTTATGGTGTGTACGTGTCCTCAGAGCATGCTAAGATTTCACTCTAGCTATGTATTTAGTGGCTACTGTGGGTGGGTTTGATGGCTCTTAAAGAGAATGAACATCGCCCTTCAAGGCATCTTTCCCAGGTAAGCTAATCATAAATAAAATTTCAAGCACAGGAAAGCTAGTTCCCTCAGATACAGGAGTACAAACTAGTTCTACTGGCAAAGGAGGTGCAGAATGACCTGGGAGTTTAAGACTTTCGATTTCATCTGAATTCCATTGTGTCCATTCTATGTCTTATTACTCCACTGCTTCCCAAACAGTACCCTCACTTTCACATGATAAAAGCTGCAAAAGTGAATTAAACAGATATCAGGATTCAGCAACCTGCACATTACAGGATTTTCTGCAAAATCTCAGTAAAGTATCATACCCCTCTTGACACCATAGTGAAAAATGGATAAGTAATGAAATAAGCTCCTGCAGAAATCAGGGACTAGGTACCACAGTTCATATTTACTAAGTAATTTGAAAACACTATTTGGTGACATGCACCCACTTCATTCCTTTTCCTGCACACAGAATAAAATCCCAAAGCTCTGTGACGACTTAATAAGTCCTAAATGATTTGCGTCCTAACTTACTTCTGTGACTGCTCAGTTTATTCAGAAAGTTTCAGCCACACATATCTTTCACCTCTGCTCAGCTAAGATGTCACCTCCTCCACACTGCCTTTCTAAAATAGCTCACTCCTCACCTCCTTAGTCTTCATGTCAAGACCATGCTTTCTTACATAATTTATCAGAAATATTTTATTGTATGCTTTTATTGGTTGCCTACGATTTTTTTTTAACTTATCATGCATATTGCTTGTATGCTTATCATTATGACTCCATGAGATTGTTAACCTCCACGCAGGCAGAGGCCATCTCTGGCTTGTTCAGAGCTTAAGAAGCAGATTGGAATTCTCACAACTGTAGATGTCGGCCTGTATTCTTCACCCATTTCTCAAACAGGCAAAAGGAAGCCATTTCAGGTGGGTCACAGCCAACCAGTGGCCAGCGCGTGTCGCCCTTCCAGCTGGAGTCCATCGCCACCCGGGAGGACCCCAAATGAGGAGGTGAAGTTCATCACAATCCCCTCCTGCCTCTACACGGCAGGAGGTCCTTACCCAGGGCGCACAAAGAGCCTCATCATCAACATCACAAAACTGGCGCGTGCTTTACACGGTGGTGGCGTCTGCCGTCCTCACCCCACCTGGCTGCCGCGGGGAGGCCGGCCTCGCACACGTGGGATCGCTCAGCCCCGGAGCCGCCGGGTCGCCCGGTAGCAAACCCGCGGCGC